GTGCATATGGGCACATGTGTGCTGCTGAGGGCAAGGAGAGAGCACCAAGGCTGTAGCAACTCTCGTTGTGTTGGTACTTCTGTTCTGTACATGTACCAAGAAAAGGCTAAGAACCACAATAGATGTCTGATGAGCTTGTGCTGAACCCCCTGCCCTCTCTACACTCCTAGGAGTTCCAGAGTGGGAGAGGTGGTCCACAGTGCTCCCTGTGGACCTGCGGAAGGCACTGAGGAATGTTGACTGGTGTCTTCCCCAGGTGCCTGGCCCATGTGCCTATGCGTCCCACTCCTGCCCCCTTTTGAACACCTGTGAGGGACATTGTCTCAGAAGCATCTTCCTGGCAATTATCCTTGCCTCATCTAAATTCCTTCTGCTGTGGGCACAATGTGTCAGGAGGTGAAACAAATTCCTTTCAAAGCTGAAAGACAATGGGCTTCTTTCTCAAGCCCTTGCCATGGGACTGGCAGGCTTGACTCAGATGTTGAAGAAACCAGAAGATGCATCCACTTTATAGGACACAGATTCACCCAGAGATAAACCTCCTGAGAGGTTTGCCGTCATCGATTCCTCCTGTCCAGCGAGGGAGAGGGACTTGGGAGAATAGGAGAGGCAGAGGGGGTTTCAGATGCCCTCTGCCCCTGTTGGCCAGGCAGGCTGGCATCCTGAGGGCCTTCACTATGTAGAAACTGGTCCTGGAGTGGGAGATGGGGTGGTCTAGTTAAAGTGAAAGATCCTGGCTGAGGGAGCACCCGGCTAAAATGGGGAGGGCCAGGCCCGGCTTTCTGGAAGAAAGGTACATAGTTGCACACACCACACACACACACACACACACACACAAACACTACAGATACCACACTCCAAGAAACACAACCAGCACAGAGGAAATACAGCAGTTGGATCCAGTGCTGACATGGCTATGTTGGAGGGTTGGGAGGCTCTGCTGAGGCTCTGCTGGGTGGAATCATCTTTAGTTGCTGATTTTTGTGTAAGGTTTTGTCTTCTTGGTTGAGAAGACAAGAAAGAATGCTTCAGGTGCAGTGGGTGTGACCTGTCTGAAAGCTCAGAGGTGGAAGAGAGTGAGTCATCCTGGCAGTGGTTTGCCTCCCCCACTGGGGAGAGAATTCCATGTAGCCTAACCAAGGACCTGCCTCCATTTTCAAAGGTTTTGTAGGTAAAGCGTGGACTGTCCCTGCTATACAAGTGAGAGTCAGCCAAGGGCAATGATCTCAGTGGTAGGTTTTCTGAGATGGTTTTACACACTGAAATTTCACATGGGTATAAAATGACAGAGCAGCTCCTACAGCTTATATAATAGGGAAAGTAAGAGATGGTCTGAGGTATTTTCTCTTTGGCCTTGGGGTTCCATCGGTTCACAGGTGTCTCCTGATGATGGTGCACAAGCTGGGCTGGCTGAAAACTTCACTGAGAAACTACAATCTTTTTGCTGGTGGTGAAAGCACCTATCTGGAGAGAACAGTGGGAAGGAAGCTGCTTGGCTGGAAAGATGAAGTGATTCTGTAGGGTGAACCAGGTGCTCAGATTATCTCCCTTTACCTGCTCTGGAACCAAGTATCCTCCTCAAGGAGGTGGCTTTGAGTGTCTGCAACTACACACAGTTGTTCTCTTGTCTAGGCTTGTGCCACTCACCAAAGATCTTTTTGGGTAGAGGAGGGCCTGGTTGAGTGGAATTCAAGGGCCCTCATTCCATTTGGCATTAAAAGGAGACTTTAAGCATCTAGGCTGGCACAGAGGAAGAGATTTTGGGGGCTCCCAAAATGGCCAGCCTGGACCAGTTAGGCTGAGCCCCAGCTGGAGCAATGCCCTATTCCCAAGATCCTGAGGAGGGCAGAGCTTAATTCTTGCTGTGAAAAGTGTCCAAAGTGCATGATGGTGAAGACAGTACAAGCATGAGGTGGCGATGATGCATCAAAGGCTTCCTAGAAGTAGATTCTCCAGAAGTTGGGGGACCAAGTAGAGAATGAGTTGTCACCATTATACTCTTGAGAAGCCCCCTGTTCTTGCTGTTGAACTTGACTTTTAGAAGACATTGCTTACCAAGCAGACACTATGGGATCAGAATTAGGGGAAATGACTTTTGTGTGGGAGCAGTGCTCTTACATACCAGGCTCACCCGCCTCCTTGACCCCCTGGTTATCTGGCATACTGCTAGGTATGACTCCAGGTGTGTGACATCACCAGACTTCTCTCCTCCTTTGTCACCCCTGCCACTAGTGCAGCTGCCTTCTGCCAGAGAAGCAGTGCTAGCTGGTGTGATGGCAGTCTCACTCTCATAGGAGTCAAGTGGCTCCCTCATTGCAGACAGATCCTGGAGGATGCCTCCAGGAGCTGCCTGGAACGGCCCAACCAAGTGAGAGTTACAGCTCATAGTTGTCTTCACCAGGGACATGGGGGATGGCTTTGGGAATTATAGAGCATCCTACCTCCTGCTTGCAATGCTCATGTATCCATGTATCTTCCCCTGCCTCCGTGCAATCCCTCTTCACATGGAGAAGAGTGTTTGAGAAGACAGTTGAGCAGGTGCAGGGCATGGAGGAGATGCTTCATTTGACCTGGAGGGAGAGTCACGTCATGCTGATAGATTCCCTCTCATGAGGGGCGGAGGCCCCACTGGAATTCTCCGGGGGTTTCCTCTCCAAGTAGGAGGCCTCCCCAGGGCTCTGTAGAAATCTTTGTCTGTCACCACCCCAGATTTTCCATCTGGAAGCATCTGGCTGACCCATACATGCCCTTTGGTGAGAAATGCCTGCTCACAAGATGAGTGCCAAGTAGACTCTGGCCTGCCAAGCCTTAGGAGAGATGATAGAAGTGAGCTGGACAGAGGGCAGGCAGGCAAGACCCAACTGTTGGCTCCCTGAAGTCCTGACGGTGTGTGTGCCTGGCTGTAGCCCCATCTCTGGTGACTGGGCCCACGAGATTCCTCCAGTTTGCTTTTGATTAGACAGATTTTCCAGAGAAGCAACTAGGTCTTGAGAGAACGAGGAGCAAAATGTCAGAGCTCACAGTGGGCTGGGAGCAAATCAGAGGCTCAGTGGGTGCAGCAGAGTCCAGGACACAACTCTCAGGACAAGGTTCTTCAGGAGCAGGGCCTAGATCCTGGCCCTGAGGGGTGGGCTGCTGGGGCTCTTGAGGGTGGAGAAGCCTCTAGGAGGACCCAGATGTGGGCAGCAAAGGAGTCAGTAGTTAACCTTAGCTGTACACCCTCTTTCTTTGTCAGCTGAACTCTTACCTCAGAAAAAGTTGAGCTCTGCTTAATGTCCTCAGGCATGTGTCACTATAATCACACAACTATGGAATGATGGGGCTGTATGGAGCCTTTAGGGTGCACAGAAATCAACTCCCTCTTTTCACAGAAGAGGAAGATGAGGCCCATGTGACTTGCCCTAGTGCCATACCAGACCAATTCCAACACCTCTAGGCTTCCAGAGCAAATTGTGACTACCACAGCCAATACCCCTAATGTCAGCTGGTCCTCAAGATAGGGGATGGGAGCCAGGAACAGTGCCCTCTGCTCTGGGTTGCAGTTGGTCTTCTGGCACTGGACTGAAGAAGTGGTCCTAGACAGAGATGCTGGCCTGGTTCCAAAGCTGACCCTCTGCTATTCTTTTTACTCTCAGCTCAGACAACCCAGTCTGGGGCTGGGGGAAGGAAGACTTGGCAAAGGGGGAGGAGCTAATGGAACCAGGGAGGTCACTATCCAACCCTTCTCCCTAGACAGGGCTTCTGATGGGAAAATCTGAGCATAGCTTTAGAGAAAAGGGTACACATCCTTCCTGGGAGGCTTTCACTGGCCTTGCTCACCTTTACACCCAGAGGCCACATTTAACAAGAGTGTGGGCAAGCCTTGATCTAGATGTCCAGGTCGCAGAGCCATGGCTTGTCCCTTGTGGAGTTCCCAGTGTAGCCAAAGAAACTGGCCATCAAGTAACATGTGACTTGGGTACAGACAGCAGGATACTATGGGTGCAGAGGCTATGGGAATGCCTTGGGCAGGGCTGGTCAGAAAGGGCTTCCTGGAGGAGGTAAGGTCTTGAGCTTAGCTTTGAAATATGGGTGGGATTTGATGGCTGTGGCTAAGGAGGGAAGATGGATGCAATTCAGCAAGAGGAATAGTTGAGTAAAGTCATAGCATTTCCCTGTTGGCCATGTTTGAAGGACAGTAGGACTTTGAACAGACCAGCTTGTGTAGAGCTGGAGCTGTGTCTTAAGGCTCCCCCTGCCATCACTGAAAGGGAGAGGAGGGAGATGGGCCCCACAAGGAACCCAAAATCCAGTTCTGCAATTCAAAGCCACTTTGTTGCTAATAACCCTAATGACACTCTGTCCTCTCTTGGAGCCTGTCATTTATGGGTCTCTGAGCACTGTGAAAACATTAATTAATCCTCACTGGGCCTTTGAGGTTGATCACTGCCCCCCTCACCAGCTGAAGGACCGTGGAGACGGAGGAAAGGGTGGAGGGTTACCTGGTCACCCGAGGGGCTGAACATAGGTTTGGATCCAGAGCCTTGACAGAATCAGTCTCTATCAGCCTGTGCTGTTCTGTGGCTCTGACATTGGAGCTCTGGGCCCAGAATGTCAAAATCCTGCCTGACTTCCCCAAGTGGGAAGCTGATGTTCCTGGAAAGTGGACTTGTGATTCCCTGGACTGGGACAGCGGTGCTCCAAGGCCCTCCTGGCCAACTCCTGACCTGTAGGTGTCAAACTACCGCAAACTGTATTAGACTCCTAAGAAGTGGTCATATGAGGCTTTCAGAGATTTCCCTGAAGCACTCTGTGGTGGCCTCTCCTTGCCCTTGGCTATGGATGTGGGGAGAGATGGAGATGGCCAGCAGATCACCTATTCTCTGCCTTCCTCCTCCAGGAGTTCAGACTGGTGTCCTCCATGGGTGTGGTGAACCTGGATGTAGGGTGATGGCCCTGGGAAGGTGGGGTGGGTGGAGATCATGGCCATCCCTGACCTAACCCCTTCCTTTGCCCTCCAGGTTCCATGTATGATGGTTTGGCCGACAATTACAACAACTATGGGACCACCAGCCGGAGCAGCTACTACTCCAAGTTCCAAGCAGGGAATGGCTCATGGGGATATCCGGTAAGAAATTGCTTCCATTAAAAAGACTTGGAATGTTTGTGGGGAGGTCTAGGGTGCATGGTGGAAAAAGGCTACCCCAATTGCTAAAAAAGAGTGATACAAATATTGGTTGGTGTGTCAGGATCATCAACGCTGACCAAGTCTATGTGTTCAGTTATTTTCTTATAGGGAGCTCTCATGCAGCCTCACCTTCAGACTGATTAGGTATTTCTGAATGTCTCAAGTGAGAACACTTTAGAAAAAAAACATAAAGAGAAGAGCATTTTTTAAAAGTCAGTATCCCAATTTGTCTGATTCAATCATGAATTTGAGAGAGAGAGAAATTTTGAGTTCATGAGGTGCATTTGTGGACCAGTTTGGATGTTTCTAGGAAAATCCTAGGGGCGTTTCCTTTTCATTGTGTGCTAAAGGCCAAGGAAGGACTCCAAAATGTTCCTTGAGGCCAGGAGACCATGCCCACTGCAATGACTCCTGCAAAAGGGACCCTGTGCCATACTTGAGCATTGCTTAAGTTTGTAAGTCAAATAAGTTTCGGTTCATGCAAGTTACCTCATCTTTTGGATCTCAAGTTCCTCCCAAGTAAAGCAGATATAACAAAGTGTACTTGGGCTTATTATCAGGATTAAATGAACTAATGTGCACCAAAAGCAGATTATGACAATTCTCAAGGTTTTTAAAAATTAATTTGGGTAAAGATTATTCTAGATCCTTTAATCCTGGTTCTGTCTTTGTCTTCCTATATGATCACATCTCTCTCCACCCATCTGTCCATTTACTGAGCTGAGCCCTGTGCCAAGCTCTGTGGTAGATGATCTTGATACAGTCATACAAATCAGCGCATTTTTCTTCCATCAAAAATCAGAGGTATTGGGCTACATGGTATGGTATCCAATGTTTCTCTCAATATTCAAGTTTTATGATTTTTTTTTTTGCTACATTGTTCTTGGGAATTCTTTTGTGAGACATTTTGGGCTAGGGATAAAGGCTACTTCTTCATGGGAATGTGGGGCTGTGTTTTCTTGGGGCTCCAGGATGAAAGCATTTGCTTTGAGCCACAAAGATCACAGATATTACTCCTGATTATCAAAAACCCTAGAGTCGTGGTCATGGAAGAGTGTTGGTAGTTTGTGAGTTTGGTGTTCTTTGGTCATTGACTTGATTTTTTCTTTCCTAAGTTCTTTTTGGAACTAATTTTGGCTGTGTCTTTCTTGCATTATTACAGGCTGGGGACTAAAGGAAGGAATGAACTAGGTTTTTTTGGGGGGGTACTGGGGTTTGAACTCAGGGCTTCATGCTTGCTAGGCAGGTACTCTACCACTTGAGACACTCCACCACCCTGAATGAACTAGGTTTGCTGAAAATTTACTTCCTTTTTCTTCCTGATTTTCAATGTCAACTGCCACTCTCAGTGAAGCATAAATACAGCTGAGTGAGCCCTATAAGCTGAAGGTTTTGACACAAAAGGAGATGGCCAGACCGTCTCAGAAAATGTCTTAGTAATGTAGAGCAAAGAGATTCAGTGAAACCCAAGGAAAGCAGACTGCTGGACCAGTACTCTGTGAGTAATCATGCTGACAAGATAGATGTCATGTGTCTTTCATGCATGATGTTACCAGTCAGAGCTTAGAAGGTACTATCCTGGTTTTCCTACTCTCTGGCTCTGTGATTGTAGAGAAAACTTGGGCATCGGTTTTCTCATCCTATTTTATATAGGAGTGTGTGCCTACTTCATTCACAGGTTTGATATTATTAGTGTGATATCAGATGGACAGTATAACCATGGAAATTTGGGAGGAGGTGTTTCACAAAAACCACTGCATGTGGCCTGTGTTGAGCACTTTACTTCTGTTTAATTAACTCAATTGTCAGCTGTCTCACAAACAATCCTCACCCCTCCCTGTGCCCATTTTCTGACAACCAGTGAAAATCCCTTTCCTTCCCCACACCCTAAGGCCCAACCCTCCTCACTCCTTTGCTGGCAGGACTGTAGACGTGACTCATGACAGGGTAGCTGCTGAGGCATATCCCGTCTCCCCTCAGTTCAGGAGAGGCTATGGGAACAGGGAAGAGCTGAGCACACATGAGGATTTGGCAGAGGGAGGGCTGAGGAAGGAGGAAATGGAATAATTGATATTGGATGCAGACATATAATCAGCCGAGCACTGGGCAAAACCAAACAGAGTCCAGATTTAGGGAGAAGGAGAGCAATGGTAATAGAGATCTGTGGTGTGAGATAATCCTATGCCTGTGGGATTTTCCCATGGATGGTACAACTGGCATGGAATGTTATATTTCCCACCCTCTGGTGAAACCAATATGGCGACTGAAGGCAGGGAGTGTGGGGAGGAGGGTGTGGTTCTTCTGCATAAGCGTCGTCAGCATGTTTTCAGGAGCTTCTGAGAGCTGATGAAGGATCATTTCCTGCAGATGCTTTATATTCACTCAGTCAGCCAAATGGCATTGAGCAATTGCTGGGGCACGGCAGTGAACGAGATATGCTGCAGACACAGTTGAAAAGACTCTGGCTTTGCCCTCAATGAACTTCTATTCAAACTGTGAGAAGCAGTTGTCAGTGGCCAATAGAACACAGGTGTGACCCTCTGTGCTGAGGGTCACACAAATACCGTTCCTGCTCAGAATGTTTCTAGAATCTGTAAACATTTTAAAATAGACCATCTTCAGTGTGTTTTAGGAACCATGTAAGAACCAGTCTAATTTCTTTATTGTCATAACCTGTGATCATGCCTCAGATTACATATCAAGCCATCCTCAAATAAAAAGCTTTGTCACCAGAAACAAGTTTAAATACATAAAAGGTCAGTGGGCAATTCTAAAAGAAAGTTCAAACAATGTTTTAAAAGCAGTAGTGTTACCTTATAGTTTCACCTTATATTCTCTATCACCAGTAGCCTAATTTTAAAAATCACATTGATTATATCTGTAATCACTTACGTTATAAACCTAGAAAACTGAACACAGAGAGTCTTATAACAAAATAAAACTTAGAACAAAGTTAGTCTGACATACAAAAAGCATCCAGGGACTTAATGAAAAGATTAATCCAGAGAAAGTCATTGACCCAGGTAATTCTCTCTACTGGCCACTCAAACCTCCTCTTCCTTCAGAGACAAGGATCTGTTGGAAGACAGTGTTGAAGTGTCAGCATCCTATAGATCTCAAAGAGAAGAGGGAGCCAGTGAGAGAAGAGGAGCAAAAGATGAGGGTCCGATCCCCACCACCTGACGTCTCATATGGACAGACTCAGCTCCTCTGCTCCCAGTTCTCAGAGCCAGACTAGTGGACTAATTGCATCCCAGTGGGCTGACATCTTGCAGTTAAGGGAACTCAGGCCCAAAGAAGATAAATTACTCATTGAAGGCTACACCACTGGTTAATGGTATAGCAGCCTAGTTCCCTGACCTACTAATTCCTAAACTGGTGTTTTGTTTTCATCACCCCAGGTACATCTACTTTTCATGATGGCCATTTTATGGGTTTTCACAATCTCCATATTTCAACACTACAGCTGTGTTCTAGGGACTTGCAAGAGACTCACAAGTTCAAATCCTTTTATTCCTCTTCTCCTCTTCCTTCCAATTCTACATTCTCCTCAGGGATCCAGCCTAACTTCAACAGAAGAAGCAGGGGAGTGCCCCTGTTTTTTCCTTCTTATACTCAAGCTGGGTTCAGTCTGCTATGAGCATTAATGGGAGTCAAGGTAGGAATACCATATAAAATACAACAAAATACGATATTTGTGGCATATTTGCTGTTCACCAGAAGTTCAAACACAACTACATGCCCTGTGTTTTTATTTGCTAAGTACAGAATCTCTAGGTCGTTCTTGTAATTAAAACATGTCTCCTATAAGCACTCCTCTTCCACACTAGGGACCCAAGCAGAACGACTTAATACTACAGCCATTTCTGGTGAGAAAATTAAAGACTTTTTGGTCCTTCATAGTTGTTCTCATAATGGGTCACTTGAATTCTTCCTCTGGGTCAGGAAGACCAGGACAAGAAGGATAGAGAGCTAGGGCCATTGGAAGGAACAACCCTTCTATTCGAAAGCTGAAAATATGTTTTTATCAGACAGGTCTGTCCCAGATGACGTTGAAGCAAGTGCATAACTGCGATTTCCAGGGAATACATCTAGATTAAGATGGCAATACCCTTTGTATGAACTCCAGCACCAAAGGGTTTTCCTATTTTCAAAGCAAGAAACACATCTTAGGCATTGAGTCCTTTGGGGAACCATATCAAGCACAAATGTTCTCACTTAGACTAGACCATCCTCTCCAGAATCTGATCTGTAGAAGAAAGAACTTATGTGGACATCATCAACAGGTCTGGAACAGGGCATACCATGGTGCCCACCATATTGAATCACTAAGGCGTGTTCAGTTAAATCCAGCCTAGCGCTCCTGAGTGAGAAACATAATAAGGAAGATCCTTTGTCCTGTATCTTTCTCCCAATCCTTATCTAACTGATTATGTCATATTTGATGAACTCATCATGACAAGGTCTTTCTTGTGGTCAACATGCTGGAGACCCTTACCCTAAGGGAAAATGAACCTGCCTACCCTAGACTCAAAGCAAACTGTGTGAGCCTCTGCTACAGACAAGAGAACTGTGGTTGCCTCAGGTTTTAGCAGGGGACAGGAAATCCAAGCACAATGCTCTCCAGGTTAGTAGTTCACCTTGAGTCAGTTCGCCTATTGATTTAGAATCCACAAAGGTAGAGCCATGGGCCAAGTACCACAGAGGAGCTGCCATAGAGAAACACGGAGCATCAGGAAGAGACTTGTTCTTACCAATCCACAGTTAAGGGAGGTGCCTAGAGGCAGCCTGGTATGAAAGAATTTGTCCTTGAACTTTGGTCAAGAGTTTCAGGTCCAGGTCCTGGCTCTCCACTCTAACTAATTGTATAACTCTACTGAAGTTCTTAATATGGCTGAGCCTCAGCTTGACAGCTCGGAAATGGGTGAAAGTTTCTATCT